TAATCTTTCTTTCTTGATGTTGGCAGCGACTTGTCTCTTTCCACATTAGGGTTTTTATCCAAAATATTTACCCCCTAAGTTTAATGACGTGAAAATATATAGCCTAAAGCGTGACGTAAGTGTAGGGCTTTTTATTAAAAAGCAATTATTCAAAAATATGCGGTAATGAAAACAAAATTAGGGGGTCCACATAAATTTTAGTTGTTTTTAACACTGAAAGGTCCTCTGATGTGTCAACCAAAAACTACAAAATCCAACTTCATTCTTTTAATAATTTGGGATAAACAATTTCTTAATTATTACTAAAAGTAAAGTTTTGGTTTCTTTTAAACCTTAAAAGTCACATGAACTGTTTTTTTAATGTGTTCAGAACACGATAGGAACGGTTCCAAAGTCATTCGAATTGACTGAGAGCACGTATCTACAGGGTGTTGCCAACAAGATTGTGGAAAGGAAATTAAGTATGAAGTCACGAGACATTTGGCACACGGCTGTACTGATAAAAATCTCCTGGCGAATCTAATGGACTCCTTGCGACATTCGCAAAGAATTATAATATTAACTATAGAAGCCGCGAAGCATAAAAAAGTTTCATGAAGAGCAATTCAAAGATAGTATTTAATTTAATAAAATGTTTTTTGCTTATAGAATAATATTTTGTTTTTTTTTTTCTATTTCGTATTATAGATGAAATCGGGATTTTAAAGCGCAAAAATATTATTTCTTTTGAGTATAACTTTTCAATTATACATAACGGCCCAAAAAGATTGCTAGTTATTGAACAATTAACGTAACTATCAAATAATAATTTTGAGTGCGGGCAACATTTGAAATTGGTATCGTAATTTATAAAGGAAAAAAGCATTCGGGAAAATGTTTCCTAAAAATGTACAGACGAAACCTCCTCCTTTTTGAAAGTCGGTTTAGAAGATGGATGGATGTATGGATGTTCATGTTAAAAGGATCACTTGATACACACAAATACAATGTTACACAGTTTCAACTTAGAACATGTGTAACATGTGAAAATAAAAATATTCTTTTATCGAAATAACAAATATCCTAAAGTGCCTAAAAGTTACACTGGTTAACTTTAGAAAGGCGAAATAAATTGTTGAAAACTTTCGAATATACCGAAAGCCTAACAAGGAAACTAAACTGAGTAAGCCTAAAAGGTAAAGAAAGAATTGTTAAGAATTTATAAAATTTTGGGAACAAATTGTATAGTTTTTATAAGTTGGAGAATGAAGTATGAAAAAACGTAAACAAAATATGAAAGAAATTTTATCAAATCTATTATTTCTAAGCAAAATAGTTCGTATTTCATATTGTTTGAAATCCATGAATATTTAAGTAGCACTTAAAGTCTGGAAATTTAATAAAGTATCTAACTTATTATTTATTCGTATAAGTAGTATGGTTAAAAATTGTTGTTTTAATTTTTAATTTATATTTTTTAAACTCAACATTGTATTTTCAACTACAACAATTTAAATTAAAATTACTATATAATTCGGGAATATTATATTTATGCAGGGTTTCTGAAGTTACCACTTTATTATTACCTAGCAATTCACTTCTTCTTCTATACAACAGTGGTAGTGCCCGCTTTAACATCTTAGCACTGCAGGGCCGGCCCGCCCGGTGTAATACCACGACCACACAGAAGACAGGCGTGAAATGGAAGCAATTCCGTGTTTCGTCTGATGAGTATGGTGCTAGGCCTATTTTAAGTTCCTTTCTTTTTACCACCCTTTTCTAATAATGAGAGGTTGGGAAGAGGAAGTGGATTTGACGGTGGAGGAGATGCA